CAATAAATTATACCAAATTATTTTCTTTTGGCTTTAGGTGGACACTGAAATTCTTTGCATCAAAACCTGTTGTTAAAGATACAAAAAGAAGACAATAATAAATAGTGGTATATTCTTTTAGAGTGGCAATGTCATTTGTCCAGAAGGGGGAGCTCTCAGTCCGCATGCAGCAGAGCAAAGCAGACAGTCTCTCTTATCTGCTGCTTGGAAATTGTCTGACAGGAAAATATCAACACAAACCATGCGATTTGCCGCTGGAGCACGCTGGACCTCATCTGCTTAAAAAGATGCACGGATATAGTCATCACAGTTCATAATTTAATAAACTGCTAAAAAAACCACACATTTTCATTTTAGCGACTTTGGTCTCACAACTAAATTCACATTGCTACAAAGACATTTGAATTTTGCACTAATATGTCATGAGCACTGCACCCATTGCAAATTAATGAGTCTCTGAATAGCACTGTGCATTTGTCATTTGAATTTATGCTAATGCAATGAGGTCTCCTGGTGATGCTGATAGTCCATAGCAGCTGCTCGAACCACAGAATGTACTGGCACTTTTCTTCTACTTTCTATTGCTACCTCTTTTCTTGGCTTTTCTGGCCTGTCACTTAGGCGACAATTCTGGAGCTGGTTATTGATAGGGCTGCTAATTATCTTTGACTTTACACTATTGGCCTGACCCCCAACACTGAGCAGAAGTAATGGATCAGTGTTGAGAGAATTATGTACATCATATGGTGACAGCCTCAGACCAGGAGGTCAGAAGGAGTTCATGGAGAACCAGTGGTATTTACAAAGGATGTTGGTATGGAAATTGGTAATATTTTTCAGTGATATTGTGTAATTTATATCGATAGGTCAATCTAAGAAAGTGACGGTAACCTTTGTGATCATAATGAACAGCGTATGTGTGTGTGCGCAAAAAGAGAGGGTGGTCCTTTTTTTAATCTATTCTACTGCAATCTAAGAAAATGGTCATGGCACTACTTCTGGGTAATCAGGGCATTTGAGTCTTTGTTATGGTTATACACATTACTTATTGGTCAAAGAGATGTGTTGGCACATTTGGATCTAGTGGAGGGATTGTTGGCATATTGTGTGTAGGAGGGAGATGCACAAATAACCATTCTCATGGGACACAAATCAATGACAAAAGTTTCTCACTGTTATCTTCCTTTCCCAAGTCTTAATTATGAAATTAAAATTTTTTCTTAGACTATTGTTTCCATTTGACCTGCTTCTGGAACGAAAAATGAAAGTATGTAGAATTTATTCTAATAGATTCAGGAAATTAGATTTGGTGTTTAGTAATGTCATGGAAAAATTAAGCAGAAAATTAAAAGCTAAAACCAGAAGTATCCATTAGATTATGTATCTTTTGAAAATCCTTACTGAATTTAAGAAATGTTCTTTTTTCCTTCCCCGGGGCCAAAGAAAAGCATGCAGACTTTTTCTTTCAAATAAAAAAAAAAAAAACAACATTTTCTTTACAAGGGACAAACAAATGCACACCCTGGGTAAAATGTGGCATTGTTAGCTTTCATTTCCTCCATTGTAAGAGGCTGAGATAAGTAAGACTCGATTCCGGAATTATCTCCAGGGGAAAAAAACATTCCAAGGCAGATACGTATAATTATTTGTTCAGTGATGTCAGAAAGTACGTAGTATAGAAGTAAAAGTGACCAATCAATCTCAAATAGTGCCCAAGAGCAATAAGGCTGTTTTTCTTGTGAAACTCATAAAAGGAAGAGGATTTTTATCCTGATTCCACAGGCCACTAAGCTGCTCAGGGCACAAGCCCCAGGAGATACTAACAGTTCTATTTCTCTCTACCTGTGGGTACCAACCTAAGGTTTAAAAGGCCACTCTAGAGAAAGAAACTTGACTGAGAAGGCAGCACATAGATTCTTACTACAGCGCCTCTGTTTTCCATCAAGGCAGGGAGACGTTTTTCACTCTTCTTGGAAAAACTTTGAAATGTAAACTGTTTCGATTGATGGCTCCTTCTGGCCTTGGCAACTCTTTTTGGTAGCTGGTGCTCTTTCTGTAATACTTGTTAAAAACGTCTCCGAAGCAAAGATGTTGTTTTTTATGTGATTTTTTTTTTTTAAGCCAGCACATGTGTGAGTACAGACAGGCTCTCATCTTGCACGGCGGAGACTGGCAGGTGAACACCTTCTCCTGTGGCCCTTATTCATTTGCAATACTTTGTAAGATTAGTCTCTTTGAAAGCTGTTTTCAGTCTAAACTGTCAATCGTCTTCGAACGTGGTCCCTCTCACTGGGAATGACTCCTTGGAACTCAAGAGAATGTTGTGGCCTGAAAGTCCCTTCCTTAGCCCAGAGATGTCTCTGTGAGCCTCTGTTATCTTGCCCCTAACCCTTCTACAAGACAGCCTGGGGGCAGCTTTCCAAAACAGGACACACATCTAGGGTATCATATGTTTCAGAGCTTTAAACTACAGACATTATTTCCACCTCCATCCACATAATTGTTACTGTTTTATCTAGTGTTGGAAATTTCATTTTTGGTCAACCATCTATGAAATGATTATGCATATGGGCTTTTTTAGATTCTTATAACATTCTTAAACTATATCCATGTGGAAAGAATTTAGGTGGTGACATAGATCAATCTGCTTAAACCAATTGATTTAGAAAGTGAAATTGTCAAACTGCATAAAGCAGTATGAAAAATGACCATTTTAATCAAAACATTGACTGCTTGTATTGATCTGTTGGACTTATAATGGCTAAATTATTTCTTTTCTTTTCTTTTTTCTTTTTTTTCTTTTTTCTTTTTTTTTGAGAGAGAGAGAAAGAGCGAGCACTCGTGAATGGGAGTGGGGGTATGAGGGTGGGGTGGGGGAAGGGGCAGAGGTTGAGAGGGAGAATCCCAAGCAGTCTCCATGCTCAGTGTGGAGCCCATGCGGAGGCTCAATCCCACGATCCTGAGTCGAAATCAAGAGGCAGACACTCAACCGACTGAGCCACCCAGGTGCCCCATTATTTCTTTATCCTGTGCTATATCAAGTCAAGTTCATGAATTACATATTCTTATTTGTTGGGGACGTATTTTTCTTTGTCCGATCGTATTGTATGCATTATACTATTCTCTGTTTTGGAGCTGTTGCTTTCCTTTGGATGTATCACAAAGAGGAAAGCCCTGTGACCTCTTTCTGAGTGAAGCGACCCTCTTCTCCAGTGTCTTGTGCTCTGAGTTCTCTCATTGCCAGACACTCTCTCCACCAATAGCACATTCTGAGGCAGGCTGCAAATCAATATGTTTTTGACTTGTGAGTGTTAAGGCAGGCACTGATTGTGTATAATCGTAAGGGCAGGAGGCCATGCTGGCTGTAGTCCTCTTCAGGTGGCTGCTCAGGGGTTCAGAGATGCTTCTTTCCTTCCATTCTCTCATATATTTGTACACACGTTATACACACACACATTCCCTCACACACACACACACACACACACACACACACACACACACACACTTGTTACCTGATACGCAGGCACACACATGAGGTTAGATTGGGATTATCATACTCTGCTATTTTTAGCTTTTCTAATTACAGGTAAAAAAGAAATACTTGTGTAAAGTTATCAAAAATATTTCTTAAACATATTTTTTAATTATTTGATGAAATATAGGTAAAGTTAATATGTCTTAAATCAATAGGAAACATTTCATTTCCTTCTTATGACACTAAAATTTTAAGTAATGATTGATTCCATTTCATTTTAGCATTGAAGCACATGTGTGCTTGGTCCATTATGATTCCTAAGCAGTATGTATAAGCCCTATGCCAAGGTCCTTGCCTTCAAGAGGTTTTAATCTGGTATGGACACAAGATTAAAAATGACATAATATAAATAAATATAAAAGGTATAATCAATATAAAGTTCTTTTGTATTAAAGTGATGTGTATTAGGGAATACTTTTCAGAACCATGTTCTTGATTTCTTACATATAATTCTTATATTCTTTGTTTTTCAGAATATGTGAAAAAATACAAATCAGTAACTAAATGACATAATGGTTTTGCAAAATCAGTGCTTGGCTTGCTTCTCTTTCCCTCGTCTCCTCTTTTTTTTTTCTTGGTCCTATTAGGGACCTCAGAGCTACACTGTGACCTCATTTCCCTTGCCATGAGGGGGGATATTTAAGCCAAGGAGAAACCAAAAAAGAATGAGACCTCTCTGTAGAGCCAAGTGGAAGTTCTGGTATCATTGGTCTTTTTGAAAAAGGATTCAGTTTTCAATAAATTCCTGCCCTTTCGAAGCTTTCTTTCTTTATTATAATGGGTTACATTTACTAAAGAGAATTATGGCAGCTTACTCCCAGGTAGGCCTTAATGTTCTCATTTCTAAAGTAAGATAAATTTGTAAAATTTATAAACGATTAGATGATATCTAACAAACCTTCTAAAGAAAAAAATTCTCTTTTCTATGCTTCCAAATGATAGTATCACAAAGTTCCAATTTTGGTTACTTTGGGTCCTGGAGATTAATGCATAGCAAACAAAACAAAACAGAACAAAAACCTAAAAATGTTTAAATCAAAGTATGTTTTGAGTTTAATTAAAAGGTAGTGGAAAGAAAAAAAATATCAGTTCATCCTAGTAAGATTTTTATTTTAAGAATTGAAGATATTTGTAGGAAGAAGACAATTATATATATATGTGTGTGTGTATCTATCTATCTATCTATCTATCTATCTAGAGAGAGATGGAGTAGGGTAGGGGAGAGAAAGTGAAAAATTAAATTATTATTACTGTGGTGAGAACACTTAACATGAGATCTGCCTACTTGACACATTTTTAATTGTACTATACAATATCATTAACCACAGGCATTATGTTGTACAGCAGATCTCTAGAACTTATTCATCTTTGTGAGCGAAACTACATGCCAGTTGAACAACTCCCCACTTCTCCCTCCCTGAGGTCTCTGGTAATCACCATTCTACTCTCTGCTTTTATTATTCAGCTTAAAAAAAAGAAGGAAATCCTGTATATGTGACACCATGGACGAAATTGGAGGACATTATGCTAACTGAAAAAGGCCAGTCACAGAAAGACAACTACTGTATGCTTCTGCTTATATGAGGTATGTGAAATAGACTCCTAGAAGCAAAGAGTGAGCAATGTTTTAGGGAGTGGAGGAGAATGGAAGTAGAAAGGGACGTCACATATAAATCACTTCTCTCAACAGCGTCACTGAATCTCTGGTATCACCTTCCAAGTTCTTCAGCTTGGCTTTCTTTTACTAAATAACTCAGCTTTTCTGCTTCTTTCTGCTCCAGACACTGGAATATAAAAGTATAAAGACTCTTGAGCCCTCAAGGTATAAAACAAGTATGCACCATTCCAGTTATGTGTACTATGTGGAGGGGGAGGGGAAGGGCAAAGATATTTAAAAACTTGTAAGTGCACTGATAAGAGAAAAATTATTGAAGTGAGGAAATTTGAGACTACCATCTAACATTTATTTAAGGTCACTTGAGAGAGCTTTTAAAATCATAAACGAGAAAGGGAAATTAAAATGCTAAGAATATTACTTGAACAATGTCTGCATAATATAATGATAGGGCATTTGTGGGGCCTGGTCCAATTTATGCAAGGACATTAGAGTAAATTTTCACACTCTTTTTTAAAACTTGGGAACACCGTGGTCGTGTGAACTAAGGCCCTGCAAGGGGAAGCAGCTGATCCTGAAAATATGATCCATGGCCCTTAATTTTTGGTTAGATGACTAACAAAGTTTAGATTCACAAGCTTGCAAAGCCTGTGTCATATCCCTTGGCCTCTTTGTGTTTCCTGGAGGGCCTGACTTTAGGGTATGGCCTCTGCAGGGCAGGCATGTAGGAAGTGCTTGCCAAGTGATTTATTTTGCTAAAATATGATAATCGGCTTAGTAGGACTTGGTAGCTTAAAAAATCATAAACGGTATGGGAAAGATGTCTACATTTCTAAATCTTTCAAAAAAAGCCTTCAGAAATTTTATCTGGCACTATGAAAATAGACTCCACAGAAGATTCTTTCCCTTCCTCCTCCCACTCCCCAATTTAAATCAACTAATTAAGAAAGACTGTAACTAGAAGGGAATGATTAACTCATTAACTTAATCATTGTCATACTTGTGAATATGGACTTGTACCAGAGTTAAGAGGTTAATGAATTCAAATATATTGTCAAAACTGCCTATGGTTTTCAAAGAGGAGGATTTTATGCTCTGTAGTTTATATGCTTAGAAGTTAGGACTTGGCTGTGATAAAGTTTGACATCAATACAGGTTACTAAAATTGTGCAGAAAACGGTGAGTAGGAAAAACAAGAATTTCTCTTTTTCACCATTGCCAACGTCACTGCTACCTTCAACGCCACTGCCACAAATTCTACCATTATTTTCACGTGGATTTTTCTTTTTTCACCTGGGTAGCAGGGAATTGACCTGTTTGTGCATAAGGCTGCCCATACATAGTGATGTTTGAGCATATATCCTTACTATTAATGTTTTATAGCAATGGGTTGATGGATTAATAGCTAATGAGCCATTACCTACCCTGTTATCCATCAAATATAGCAGGCACTGAGCTAGGTACAGTGCGTGGATCTGGTGTTCAACAGAACAGACACTGCTCTTGCCCTGGCAGCCCTTACCCCTGGGGAGTTGCATTGAATATATGATACAAATAATTGTCTCATCATAAATTGTGATTAGTATTCACTAAAGCATGAGAGAAGACTAGAGATTATTGCCTCGTGATGGGACTCGATTTAGATTAGGAAGCTCCTCTATAGAAGCAGCAATTATGTTGGAACCTGCAGAATGAGGAGAAGTGACCTGGTGGAAGGTTGGGAGGGAGAGAAAACAGCACGTGCAGGAGAAGACCATACCAAGACTTTGCTGACATGGGATTTAGGATTTTATTTTAAGAGAAATAGAAAACCACTGAAAAATCTTAGGAAGGATTGACATGATCAGAATTTTATTTAAAGAAAATCACTGTGGCTATTTGTGTAAAATGTGCTGGAGGAGAGAACATAGTAGAAAAATGAGAACAGTGGTCTAGCTAAGGGAGGATGGTGTCTCAGATAAGAAGGTGGAGATGGAGAAAGGGACATTGATTCAAGATGTAATTTGAGTTGATGGTTAGATTATGAATATTGAATGGATATTGAATTGATAGGTAGAATTGATAGATCAGATGCCTGTTGAACAATGTGTAGTAGGGAAGGGTTTGTGAGAATATCTCACTTGTCAGAGATTTCCTACCCCACTAACCATCCACACAATTGTATGGTAATTCCATCCTTAGAAGAGAAACACTGTGCAGCACAGTCATATAGCACAACTCCAAGGGAACCTTCACAATGTTTCCATATGTTTGGTGTCCCCTGGAATTGTGCATTGGAATGGCCCTGGGGCTATGGAATATTGATTGTGCTTTGTTGTCTGTAAGGATTATAAAATAGGGTGTTGTTTGCACTGAGGGCCCCCATGTATGGTTATGTTTTCCTGAGGATCTGGCTGGGGACTGGAAAATGTATCCTGTCATGGGACTGTGTCTTTCCCTAGGAAGCAGGCACTTTTTTCTAGTTGGTCTGTCCCAACTAGGAGAACATTTAATAATTCACTGTTCAGAGTGTTGCTCTTGTATAATTTGTACATCCTAAAGAGTGATCTTTTTCTAATTATGTACTAGTTGTAGCCCTGTTTCCATTACTCAGATATACGTGTGCCACAAATTCACCTCTTCAAACCATACAAGATGTTGGTAGACAGGGCATTAACACAAACATTTATAAGTTGGAGATTAAATAGACATCAGAGGAAAATTATCCATAGTAGTAAGAAGAAGTCATTTGTCAAGGTAGGAGATTTGGAATCCAAAGCTTCCAGTTATCATTTTCAAATCCCAGTTACGTTCTCTTGAATAAGTAAAATCTTTAAGCAAGCCACCCCTACATCATCATGGTCTGCTTTCACCTTGGAATTCTAGGTCCAGTGTCACTAGTGTTCCGTCCCATGTTCACAGCTGCAGATCACTGATATCACCTATAACAGATTCCTTCCTTGGCTAATAGGAAATAAGCCAATAGAGAGAAACTCAGTATCTGTCCTCCTCCCTCTCTTTCCCTATGTTCTCCAAGTCTAAAGGGAGAGCAAATTTAGAATTCCAAAGCTGTTTTTTTTCTACTCTTTTGATTTCTGAGTTTGATAGGCCTCTGAGTCAAAAGCTAAGGAACCTTGATTCGATCTTTTACATTTAAATTTAAAGTAATCCAAATCTCCAGCTTTAGGTCTCAACAATCTAAAGCAGAATAGAACATCTATTTTACCCATAGTTGTTCTATCACTTTCTTCACTATTGCAGCGAATTCACCACCATCAGCCTGTTTGACTAACATGGACGTTAACATGACTAACATTGACTAAATGACTAACATTTCAGAACATGGACATTTTATAGTTCCTTTGTTCTCCTTTCCCTTCTCACCCTCGTCTGGTCCCTAAAGCCTATTTCTTGAATCTTTCTTCTTTCCTCCATATCCATCGACCAAGTAAAGCAGTTAGAATGAGTTTTCTCAAATGCATATTTGATCACTTCATTCCATTGCTTAAAATTCTCCAGTGACTTTTTATTATCTTCAAATAAAATTTATTGGCAAGTCAGACAAAGTCTTTAATAAACAACTGATGTCTCCCAGCTACCCGTTTGTCTGTTTTCATCCCCTGCCATTCCCACTTAAGTTAGAGTGAAATGTAGATTTTGACATACACCTGGTCTTTCATAAGGCTGTGACTTTTCATATTCTTTCTTTTTCCTGGCTCCCCCCTTTATTTTCAATGTTATAAATCATTCCATAAGTCTCAGATCAAAAACTATCTCTGAGAAGCACTGAAACAGCCCCTGCACCTGACTCAGGCACCCCCTTCCTAGGTGGAATTAAAGGCTTCCCTTGCATTCTGTGCTTGGCTCTACCATGTGATTTCATTGTGTTGTCTCTGTTGGTTCATTTTTTGGTGTAGCTCTGGTGTATTGAAGAGTGGCTAGGAAGGTGGCCTTTTGGAGTTACACAGACCTAATCATATGTGTGACCAGGTAAGTTTGGGTTTCTAAATCTATTTTGATGGATTATTGATTTAAAAAGATAATGAAAGTAAAATGCATAACTGTACCTGGTGCACACTACGTGCACACTACGTGTATGATAAGTATTGTTTGTTGCTATTGGTATCAGTCGGAGTAGTATCTTTTATCCCTAGTTTCTAACATGATGTATATCACTTAACAGATACTTAGGACATTTTGGTTGAATGTGTGATTAATGTTATTAACATACCTGATTAGATAAGATTATTTTTAGAACAATTTTTTAAATCTATGGATATTATTCATAATAACCAATATGACTAAGTCTTGGTTATATATACCACTAAAGGAGATTAATCGTATGAGCAGCTCTCTAAATGTTTCTTTTATTGAAATTTGTAATATGCTTTGACATTATTGCTTGAATATTAAGTACAAATATTTGGTCATGGAAAAGAATTTGAACCAAGCAATAAAGACAAACTGCCAACCATAGGCAGCCCTGCAAGTATGCAGAGACTCGTGCTCTGATTGACAGTCAAATTTGGCGTCTAGGCTCTGAGGGTCGGAAGGGACCTTAGAGACCATGGAACCCAACTTTCGACACAATGAATGTTTCTCTTCGTGCCCTATCCCATAGGTCATTATCTAGTATCTTTCTGACCCTTTCCAGTTTCCAACACCTTTAGCTTATGAGACTTCAAATAACTCTAGGGAATGTTTTTAACTTTTTTGAGCAAAATCCTATTTTCCTGTTAACTTCCATCTATTTGTCTTAATTGTTCCCTTTGAATGTATTCTGAGTATTGATTTTACTTGATGAAAAGCCAAAACAGTACTTTATATCAAAGATGGTTATTTTATAGAGTACACTAGCACATTTCTACTAGAAATTCTGGGGTTTCTAAGGTGAAAATCAAGACTTCTGTGATGAGAGAAAAATTAAATTATTCCAAAAGTTTTAATCATACTTCCTCTTTGGGAGAGACTTTTTTTTTTTGTCTCTTTAC